AGAAGCAACCGTACAGACACTTGTAATATTTTATTATTTAAAAGATAATTATATTTATTATCCTTGATATTGGAGTGGCAACGCCATATTTTTATCATGTAACCGTTGCTGAGCAAAGGGAAAAAGTGTTTAAAAAGTTATTCTGAAAGATTACCAGTTAGTAGATGTATGAAAATTTATAGAGAAAGAAACTGTAATAGTAAGCTGGAGTGTGAAGCTGAAACGGATAGAATTGTAGTTATTATCTATCTACGTGAATTGAGAATAAGATTTATGTTTAACTAAGAAGCTCATCTATTATTTCTACAAAAATTCCAAAATACCTCACATACTGTACATATATAAATATCTATGTCTTATGATTCGAATCCGACCTTAACGACATATAACATTCTGCCGATCAGGGCGAAATGCTTATTTTGAAAACAAGAATAAGGTTATGAAAGGTAAGAATACCACATTTAATTTAACGGTGGCTAATAGACCACGTTGGAGCATTTATCCTTCCGTAGAAAACTGTCAAGCATGTATTGTTATATAACGGAAAATATCCCAGATTTTCCAGTTCACTACTTTTAATTAGCTGAAAAGTGGCAGTAACACTTTACCTGTATTTTTAACCAGTTTAATTTGGAGAATTAGTTTATTTGGTTATGAAGTTAAACCAACATTGAAAACTAGAACAATACACTTCAGAACAAAAGAAATAAAGTTTTGCTGTATTCTCTTGTGTTGCTTGCAAAGTGACTCTGTCTATCATTCGAATTTCCTGATGGATATTGTCCTTCAATTCAGAAAGAGTTCCGTGCTTTTGAGAAAAAGAGTCATTTTGCAAGCACTTGTGAAGAGTCCCATGTAAAGAGCTCGCCTTTGTGAAGCGGAAAATTTTCATATTTAAGCCAAACAAATCTCCAAGATCATTGCAATATTAAAAAATCTGATGTGTACACCACATGACTTCCTTGTACGGAATATTAAATTATACGCATTTTTCTTGCATTTCATTTAAACTTATCGATTGAATTAAATCTACTTCACCGACAGAGCATAAACCACAATAGAATAAATGCATTCTTTAAAATTCACTCTAGTATTTGTTTACCATAGCGACACTCTGGCGCTAGATTCACTTAAAAATTATTACTGTAACTAAATTTATATTACTGTCAGTTTGCGCGCAGTGCTTCAGTACAAATTTTAAATTTTCGGAAAATACAGTTAGTTTTTTTCTTTATAAAACAAATTCTTATACACTTTTAAGTAAAATAAATCAAGAAAGATAATCATCTATGTATAAAAATGACACACTGAAAATTTCATATATGTATGACAAAAACAATTTGACTTATTAAAACTCGAAAATCAGCTAAAATTCTCACTTTTTGTGTTGCGCAAAAGTGATGACTCCCCTTCAGTATTATATTTCGTTCATATCATAACTCATAATGCACAAAATTTATATCATTTAAAAATAGAATTATCTAATCGTTGCCACATGTTCTATTCAAATACTATAATAAAGCTAGAATGATGTATAAAAGAAATTAAGCAAACAAAACAAAAAAGAAACAGTTTTTCACAGACGATTGAGTATTTCTCATTTTTAATTAATTCAGTTCTCACTTCGCGAGAAGGCAAAAATACATAAAAACTCAAAATATCTGCATTAAAAATTACGAAGTAAATCTTAAACACTTATTTCCTCGAAAAATTCCAGAAAGGATTAAGCATGATTTAATTCGCAATAATAAATGAAGGCGTTATCTTTGTTGTTGCGAAGCTAAGTTTCTCTAGATTGGCAACAAATCCACTAGTCTCCTGTTTCAAATGTAAACATCAATGGCCGCCATAAAAAAAGGCTTAGTGGCACTTAACAACTTTAAAATTGTTGATAATTCTAAAAATATTGCATACAGATTTACTAAAGGCATAAAAACCTTAACCGGAAGATAAAAACAACATAATTCAATCATTTTTAAAGCAAAAAATGTACAATTTACAAACATATAAGAGTAAAGAAACTGAGATCACTGAGCCGGGTACAGAGTGGATATATATATAAATATATTTATATACGTTTGGTGCGGCCGATTGCAACCAAAATACGAGGTGCACATCTACATGTTATAGCAGTCCTATATACAAAATTTCAACGTTCTGAGGCTACTCGTTTTTGAGTTATGCGAGATACGTACGTACGTACGCACGCACGTACGTATATACGTTCGTACAGACGCCACGAAAAATTCTCTTCAGAATTAATTTTAAAGCAGTTTTATAATTTTTTTGAAGGAAAAGAGTCTTTTATTCTGTCCTTACGTACAGATATCACGCAAAAACATCGTTAAATTGCATTCGATAGCGGTCAAAATGGATATTTTCGTTGAAATATGCTGCTTGAAACTTTTCAGATTACAATACTTCCTTTTTACTTCGTACAAGGAAGTAAAAAAAAAGTATTAAATAATCAAAACTAAAAAGGTTACTTATAAATGGTAAAGTGAACTTTGGCCCGCATTTTACTTGTTTACAATCAGTATTTGAGGAAATAAAACTCGTAAAAAAACCTTTTCGAACACTACACATTATTAATTAAATATTTTTACTGGCGCTGTAAACCGCTGAGCTCTGATATTGACGAATTCTACACTTATTTACTAAAATAGCAATTTTTTAGAATTATATTCTTCTTTTAGAAAGCATTTCTTATATTTCGTCACTTATGCATGCGAAAATATATATACGTACTCTCCATTAAATCGCATTTGCAGTAATCCACTTCGATTGCAATTAAAATATCTGAATTCCATCGATGTAAAACTAGTCAAGCTCGTAATTCTAAGTAGGACTTTTACGCAATAAACGTCTAAATGCATTGTTTGATATCTGCGATAACAAGCAGACGAACATGAGTATTTAAAAGTGGAATCACGTTTCACCTTTATTTAGTGGCAATTATCTGTTACCTTAAGGCATGTGTGTTTAAATGCCTTACCAAGGGTTTTATAAAATAATATCTCATAACCATCGTAACCGTAATCATCTGTAAATAAATTGCTATTTTATCGAATTCTTTAAATGTTCCGGTTAGCATAATGAATATTTCATTAATTGAATTTTTTAATAAGAGAAGATTATATGACTTTTTTTTTTTTTTTTTTTTTTTTCCACGGAAGAGCAGTCCAAACGGAAAAGTGGTTTGTGACTCTGACTGCCGTACCAAAGGGACCAATTTCGAATCCCGAAGAAGGCATGTTGTAAACCTTTCATAGCGGTACCGGTGGTCACCTTTTAGGTACCTCTATATTGAAATAACCACCGCTTCTGGCTTTAGTAGTGACCAAAGCCTAAAATGGCTACTGCCCACCATTCAAAAATAATAATAATAATAATAATAATAATAATAATTCATGGAAGCTTCTCAAGTAGAAATAGTTTTCATAAAACTGGCTACTTCATTCGGAGGAATTTGAGATTAGAAGTATTTATTTAGGATCAATATTTAAGGTTTATTTGGGTTTACCTTATTTCCTCACGTATCTTTATTCCCTCTTTTAACTGATTTTAACATCCGCAATCGAGAGGGGAAAGTTTTGGAAGTAATTTAATTTCAGAAGAACACAGTTACACTAAGAACATAACAGGCAGTCATAGATAAACTACTGGTAACTATTATAATATTATTTCTTTAAAAGAAACCTGCATTCCAATAACAGTCCATAGTAAAATCGACGACAGAGTACGACTTCGACAGAGTACGATATCTGACTGCATTTCAAACAGACACGTCACGCACAGCGCTACCTGTCTGGCTCAGTTACCTTATAAAGCCGCAGGGCACCTCACATGGATGAGTCTTGACCGCAGTTCCCAACCATGGAGGTAGGAAGCAAGGAAGTAAGTTTCCTACCTCCATGTTCCCAACAGGGACATCGGAGAAACGAAGGAGAAGGGGACGAACAAAAGACCCGGATTTCGAAAGATCGGACGCATCAGCAGTAGATAAGGCTACAATAAATTGGAAGATAAATAACAGAAGTTAAGGTGAAATTACATGTTTCCAAAATTTCTTAAGTAGGACAACACATGCTACGTCCGGGTAGTAACGAAGAATCTGCGTAAAATATATTTCAAATAATAAGTGCAAGCGAAAATAAAATGGATGAAATGCTAATACAAATTGGATACACTGAAATAATCAATGAATAGCCAGCTTACAGATGACCAATAAACTAATTCTCAAAGAGAAAAAAATCTACGTTCAGTAGGGAAAGGGAAAAATTTTGCCAATATCTTAAAATTTTTTTAAACAGAGCACTAAAAAGCTAGGAGAAGCGAGGAAGTACAGTATTTGATTATGGCAAAATACTCGAGGGTTATCTGCTAAAGGGAAGGGACGTCTTCGTGGAGAGCTTTCTAAGGGAAGTTTACTCATATCCGCTTTACACACTGGGAAAGCCACGAATACGGCTATGAAACCAGCCCTTAAATTGGAATCGAGTCCAGATCGAGCTTTCATAAGCGCGCAAGACTGTCCATTAAAAATCCTAAAGCTAAATATCTATTAAAAATCCTAAAGATATGCTGAAGTATTTTTAGTCCAAAGGAGTGTTAGCCCAAGTGCTCCCGCAATGTGTACGTGCGTGTAAATGAAGAAAAAAACGCCCCTTTGGGCTTAATATAAAGTCTGAAAGCTTTCAAGTTTTTTAAAGTCTATTATTTATTTACTGTTCCTGTGACAGCCTTCGACAGAGTGCGGTATTTGTAATTTTAGAAAATGAGGCCCGTTTTAACTGAAAGAGAAATATTGTACATGACACTATAAAAGGAAATGTTACAAATGTTTCATGGATTTTAAAATTTGATCGGTAATAATTTATTTTTCTGCGTTATACAGCTTAATTTTGCAGTCCATTATCATAAATACATATTAATTAAATTGCTGAATAATTAATCAATAGATAATTTCGAAATCAGCTTATAAAACCATTAATAAATTATCAGATTTTCATGTGTGCAAATGATCTTGCTAAATCAAGAGATTTTTTCCAAGAATCAAAATATCCGTCTTCATAAGCTCGCATATATTTTCTTGAAAACGGAATTTCATAAGGGGCGACAAATGCCCAGAAGTTTTCTTCAGTTTCCTTTCTGTTTCTGTCTATATAAGTGTGACAAGAAACTTCCCATTCAGATCCCATAAGTGTCCTGCAAGATAAATTAAGTAAACTATTATTCAAAACTATTTAATGCGAAATTTATATATCTTGTCTATTGATTCAATAGTTAACCTTGTAGAATGTAAAATGATTAATAATTTAAAGGCTCTTGAAAGGAAAAGAAATTATTATATACACTCTAAGCCCCCCCCCAAAAAAAAGAAAAATAAATGATTACAGTTTGAGAAAAATTGGATAATTTAATTGAAGTGATAGAGCTTCACAAAGTGAAAAAGTCAGTAACACGTTTGTCCACCTCTGGCTCTTATGAAAGCAGTTATTCGGCTTGGCATCGATTGAAAGGTTGCTGATATCCTCTTGAGGGATATCGTGCCAAATTCTGTCCAACTGGCGCGTTAGATCGTCAACATCCCGAGCTGGTTGGAGGGCCTTGCCCATGATGCTCCAAACGGGCTCAATAGGAGAGAGATCGGGCGGCCTTGCTGGCCAAGGTAATGTTCGGCAAGCACTAAGGCAAGCAGTAGAAACGTGTGCAGTGGGAGGGGGGAGCATTATCTTGCTGAAATGTAAGCCCAGGATGGCGTGAATGAAGGGCAACACAACGGGCCTTCAGAACTCCGTCGACGTACCGCTGGGCTGTAAGGTTGCGACGGATGACAACCAAAGGGGTCCTACTATGAAATGAAATGGCACCCCAGACCATCACTCCTGGTTGTCGGCCTGTCTGCCGGAAGACAGTCAGGTTGGTATCACACCGCTGTCCGGGGCGTCTCCAGACTCGCCTTCGCTGGTCATCGGGGCTCAGTTCAAAGCGGGACTGATCATTGAAAACTATTCTACTACAGTCAGTGACATTCCAGTGCAAATGAGTCCTACACTACAGCAAACGGGCTTGACGTTGTACAAAGGTCAATGGTAGTCGGTGGAAGGGGCGCCGTGACCTCAGCTCCCTTTCTGTGAGCCGTCTATGAATGGTCCTTGCGGTCACTGAAGCACTAGTTGCACGTACAATCGGTGATAATGATGCATCTGGGGGCTGTGAGTGCCGCTCTGACGATTGCTCGGTCTTTACGTTCTATCGTTTCTCTAGGCCTACCGCTTCCTTCTTGACGCTGTGTGCGGCCATGGTTCACCCATTCCTGCCAACATCGTCTAATAGTGGCATCTCTCCTGCTCAAATGTCGAGCTATTCGCTGATAAGACCAACCTGCTTCTTTGAGCCCAACTACAAGGCCTCTTTCAAATTCTGACATCTGTGCATATCGTTCGCGCACCTGTATGCGAGGTATAGTTACTGTCTAACAGAGTACACGGAATGAAATTCGTGAAGAATTTATGACCTGGAATCGTAATTTCTCCTCTTAAATATCCTGACAGTTGCGCAGATCAGATGCGCTGTAGCGACAAAAGTTCATTCATTGGCAGCCAAAATGTAAAATTTTGCAATTTTCGACGAAACCTGTATGCGTATGAATTTGTGTCCAATTTGCTTTATACGTTCTCGGTGCGTCGTCGTGCATTTTTTTTTTTTCGTCTAAGAGTGTAAATAACCGAATTTCATAAATTATTTTTACAATAAATTCCGATTGAAGGCGTGAGAGGGGGTCAGATTAATCGGCCTCATAAATTTTTTAATAACCGGAAGCACATCATTTGACCTTTTCTAAAAAAAGAAGGTTTATTTATTGTGGAATGATGGAAAAAATTACTTAAATAAACCAAAAAAATAAAGCAAATATAAGAGAAACATATAAATATAAAATTTAAAACTAGGCTATAAAGCAGTCTTAAAATATATAAGTTTTAAAACTGATCAGATACAGGTCCCTCTTCTTCGAGGAGCTCTTTTAATAAGACTGCCTTTTTTGCCTAATTTTAAAGATCAAAATAAAGTTAGATATCTGCGGAAAATGTAAAAAGGAGAAGGAAATGCGTGAGATAACAGCAGTAACTACAGGTGATGTCACAGTATTAAGGAATTATTGTTATCCCTAGTATTACTTAATTTAATTCTTCATAATCTGTGACTTACAAACATCATTAAATTACTTATTGAAAATAATTTGCTAACTTCCAAAAGTAAATTATGTGCAACTATTAATTTCCTATTTCTTATTGATTCCTACTTAAATACAAGCGTAATACTATTACGTGGGCACGGGTTCGTAATGAATTGAATGCACACAGAATCAATGATGGCTTGATAGAATTTACTTTACCAAAAGAAACACTTCACAGTCCTGAAACTTTTCACAAAAATATTTGTACAGTTCTTCTCGGTATCATTGAAAGCAAGCAGTAGTAACACTTCAGACTAATACAAACGTTAAACACAACTCAATGCAAAGTGCATCTAAAGAGCGAAGCTGACATGGAGATCACTCAATGCTCCAAACTCAACTCTGAAGTAAAACCTGAGAACCTCCGATCTTATATAGTTTTCCCCCCTGCCGCCGAGAAATTTCCAGAACCTTCTAGAGAGAAAGTCGAAATAGACAGATGACTTCTTTTGCACCTGCTAAGTCTTTCTGCCCGCAAGGCGAAATATCAAGCTTAGGCGCAAAAGAAAGGTATATACTTGTAGAAATTTCTGGAAGGCATATAGGATTAAATTTACATATAAGTGGCGGGTTTGGCTGCAGTTACATATAGGGATCAATTGCATTTATTTAATTGCAGTACCAATTACAGTCATAAGGGACCGGATCAAAATGTTACCAAATGGTGGCCAAATTGGGCGGAAAAAAGCGAAAACAACTCCTTCTGCACTTGGGGAGAAAAATGGCACAAAAAAAGTTACAGAAGGATTTGGTGTGTATTTGTGTATTTAGTTAGTTATGGCAAAGCACACGAGGGCTATCTGCCTAAGGGAAGGGATGCCTTCGTGGAGGACTTTCTAAGGGAAACTGGCTTGTATACACGTTACACATGGAGAAAACCACGAAAACGCCCATGCAACCAGCCCGTTCGCGGGATTCGAACCTCGGACCGAACTACCAGTGTTCAGCGACTTTACCGCTCGGCCGCTGGTGGGCCCAGAAGGATTTGGAGAAGACCCTAAGTGTTTTCTTTTTTAAATATGTAATAACTATTATATTAATATATGTATATGATTTTATTATGTTAAAATATGTTTTATTATTTATCAAGTATTTAATGCTAAATTTTTTTCTTTCAGACTGATAATATTTGTCAGCTATTTGCATATAAATATGAAAATGGAACTATTCACCGTCGCAGTTTCGCCGTCATGCCATTTCGCCTTTGGGCTGTTTGGCTGTCAAGACATATTTACCTTAACATGCCTATATTATTCCTTGACACGTTAAATTAAGTTTATTTAGTTTTATAATTTTGTTTATCTATTGTATACCTCTCGATGTCTTAAATTTTAAAACAAAAAAGCTTTTGTAACTAAGCACATCTTCTAGAATTACTAAAATAATACCTAGAATGAATCAATCAAAACCTTTTCAATAATATATAAAATATTTCTGCATGCAATTTTATGCAAATATATCGTCATGCATGATACAAAAGTTAATTTATTAGTGTATATAATCTATACATTTATTAAGAAAATAATGTGCTAACGAAATTAGAGTAATTCCATTTTCAATTAAGTTTTCATAAAAATGTAATTTTCTTGCCTGCATTACTGACTTCTTTGAACTAGCTGATTAAAATTTCAAGAAATTTTGATGAAGCGTGTAAATGTTATATCTGTATAATTTTAGAAGGAATAATATTGTAGAGACGTTAGGTTAATTGGAAGCAAGAGCGATTGAAAAATTAGTAACGCCTTCGCCGGGAACCGAACCGCGGGCCTCTGGAATACGCGCCCAGAGTGCAGACCACCTCACCACGAAGGCATGCCAAGAAGGCGAGAGAAATACCTTATAATGTAACAGAATACCTCAGAGGTTTAGATCATCATATTCACGAAATGTAATAATTTTGTGGTATTTTATATATATCGACATAATTTTATAATTAACTATGTGTAATTACTTTATCCCATATTTATAAATAAGAAATTAATTATATATATTATAAACAACCTTTAATATTTATTTCATTTCTGCTTGACGGTGAATCAGCTGCCAGAAGATTGTCCTGTCGGCGAAAGGGGTGAGGGCAAAACGGCGACGGCGGAAACTTCTAGACATATGAATATCTACAGTTTGGGAATCATTTTTAAAAAAATGTCGCAAAAATGACTAGCTCACATCTGACAAGTGACTTTTACCTTTTCCCATTTAAAAATCGCTAAATTGCGCCAAGGTGGTTGCGTTAATACGTAAGTACCACACAATAACTTACTTAGCAGGTAAGCAGCATTTCTAATTCCTCGATATACATACATGCCTCTCTCTAAAATGCACTTTTAAAATTATGAATAATCGTTTAAGTGGTACAACAGTATGATCTTTTAATATCTGTGTATCCTAGTTTCCCAAGACATGTCTGTCTGTCACACTGTCTCGAATAGCCTTCATTTTAAGCACAAATAAAAGTGAAGGTGTAAAAGAACAGAAACATAAAGAGGATTTTTACTATTCGAATAGTCTAAGTATCAGATTTTGAGGTTTAGTAATTTTTCAGGTAAACCCTTGCACAAATTCTGTGAAAACGTTTGAAAAACCAAGAAACATTTCAAACGAAGATATCCATTAAATTCAGTATATCCAGTTTTCATGGTATGGAGGTTCTCTGTAGCCATATACAGTAACATTAAATGAATGGAGCCAAGAAGCTCCTTCGTTATCTGCGTGAATTCATTGTAAACCGGGTTCTCTATAACGGGTTTTTGATATGTTTCCATTTACAAAAACGGGTACTTGCGTATAATCCCGTCGACCCTGAAAGTCTTCTCAAGCATCGCGATTTAATGGCAATTATGGGTAAGCGTGACGTAACACATCTCTATAACACTCGCGCTTTCGTTTGATGCAACTCCGAATGATTTTCGATGAGCCGCATTTTGTTTTTATGATTAATGTTATAGATTAATTGATACTGTTGTATTTTTCGTGCATTAAAAAAATGTTTCAAATATGAGACCTGTCTACTACGGAACAGCCAGCAATGTATTATTTTCGAAGTTATGGGATCCTACCGTCAAAAGGGTATCCGCCAATAACATCGGGGCAAAAACATCGCGAACGAAAACGTCGCGGAGAAAACAACGCAAGGCAAAAACGTCGTGCTACAAAACATCGTGGGAGAAAACATCGCAAAGAGAAAACACCGCAGTTCTAAAACATCGTGGTACAAAATATCGTCCTCGAAAATAAAGCGGTTCAAAAACTTCGCAGTTTAAAAACATCGTCGTCGAAAATATCGTGGTAAAAAATAAAGTGTCTACAAATCATCGCATGAGAATAACATTCACGTGCTTTTTTTTTTTTTTTTTTTTTTTTTTTTCAGGTTTTTAATAACTGTAAATGGATATTCCCATAATGATTTGTGAGCGCAAGTGTGAAGAAGGATAATTTTTACTTTCACATTTTTTTATTAACTAATCAATTTTTGCTGAAAAAGTAAGAAGGAAACTTAAGCATAGAAAATTAAATGCAACTTATAGATTATACTTTTCATGAAAAATTACCAGCAAAAACTTTATAAAAATGATTCATTAATGGCCATTATTAGTTAACTATGTCGGTTTAAAATTCTATTAAATGCTATAAGTTGCATTAATTTTCTATGCTTAAGTTTTCTTCTTATTTTCTCAGAAAAATTTATTAGTTAATAAAAAATATGAAAGTAAAAATTATCCTTCTTTCCATCTTGCGCTCACAAATCATTATGGGAATATCCATTTACACTTATTAAAGCAGCCTGAAAAAACTGAAAAAAGCATGTCTGCGATGTTATCGTCATGCGATGATTTGTAGATACTTTATATTTTACCACGATATTTTCGACGACGATGTTTTTAAACTGCGAAGTTTTTGAACCGCTCTATTTTCGACGACGATGTTTTGTACCACGATGTTTTAGAACTGCGATTTTTCTCTTTGCGATGTTTTCTCCCACGATGTTTTGTAGCACGACGTTTTTGCCTTGCGTTGTTTTCTCCGCGAGGTTTTCGACGGCAATGTTTTTGCCGCGATGTTTTCGGCTGTAACCCGTCGAAAGAAAATGTGCATTAATGGATACGATATGGTCAGCTGAATATGCCTGACAAAAGTAACAGAACTGAAGAATTACCTGTGGGGAGTTTGTATTCATAGCATTCTAAAGACATCTTCCGATAAAATTGTAGATCCTAACAGAATGCTAGAAATCGTCCGAAGTCTTTTTACGGAGCACAAAAACGAAGAGGTTTGGAATACTCATCGTTTATTAAATAAAAAGGCATCAGTTCATTCAGAATTCCGCAGGAACGACTGATATAGTTCGGCCATCTCAAAAGCAACCTTGGCTGGCATTCTGCCAAAACACATAGACTCGTCCAAAAGGGGCGTTATTTCTTGTTGCGAAGTGTAAGATCCAGTGAAAGCCTTCTCTTCTTCGGAAAGAGAGAGTTTATAAGCTCGAGGGAAAGAAAGCAAGGCCAAACTGAGTATAAGTTGGCCTTGAAGAAAGTCATCATCCTTTAACCCTATTTTGAGAATAATTCGGTCCGAATGGAACATGCGTATTTGCGTTTATGATAGCTGATGAGGTGGTCGAAGGGATAATACGTATAAACCCAAAAATGTTTTAAGTGACGTACGTAAATATATAAGTTTTAGCATTTTTGAATTTAAAATTCAGTTTTTTTTTTTTTTTTTTTTTTTTTTTTTTTTTTTTTTTTTATAATTCAGGAAATCCTGAATTATATGGCTTACCTGGTCTGTATAGTTACATTTAATAAAAGTGTATACATTACAGTTTCACACATTTTTGGGAGAAAATTCGCCAGTCATACATGCATATTTGTTACTGTAGTTATTGACACTGTAAAGCAGTGTAAAATGGTACCTATTTCCCCCTTCTTAAATCATATTTCGTTTTAACACTAGGGAAAATTCACTTGAGACAGTGCTAGCAATGCTCCAGAGTAAAGGTTTCCATAACACATAATCAAATAAATTAAAAATTAATGGTAATTTACTTTATAAAATGCCTTTTCTCAAGAGCCAGATTCTGCCCGGTTCTAACATGCGTAATAATAACTTCTTCATTAACCTGTGAATTTAAGAAGCATTTTAAGTTCAGAAAAAATATTGAAAATTTTTATTATACTTTAATGAAGAAGGTTTAAATGAATTATTCTTACTGGTACATATGGAACTGATAACTTTTTTCCGCAGAAAGCTTGAGCAACTTCTGCTTCCGAAAAACGTTGGCGAAAATTCTGATCTTTTGCAACTATTTTCCATAAACAGTAGGGAGAAAGATTCTTAACCCATTCAGTGCGTTGATGACCTGAATACTTGGCGTATTTTAGAGGAGTTCTTTGTTCTGAGCAAAGGTAAAACTGTAATGAAAGGAAATTTTTTGCATCGCATAAGACAAGTAAAATAACATCAGAGACAACAGAAACTTATTTCGATTATCAGTATATGAATGACTAATAAGCCTCTCATTCTCTAACGAATCGAATAATCGAACAGTTGAAACTCTCTACGGTGGGAATTGTATGGGAATGAAAACCGGAGAATTAACCAGTAGAGAATAAATCCAACTTTAAAGTTATATAGACGTTCTGAGACTTGGCAATTAGATTAAACGAAGTTTTCAGTAATAAATAAATCATCAATATTATATTATAAAAGTATGTGTACAATGTGCGTGCCCGCGAAATCTCAGAAATGAGTCCCGGTATGATCGAGGGGGTTATATGGTGGGTAACCCCCTATGCCCCATCTATGAAGAAGGTTCACGTTTTGATCTGAAGGGTGTGATCTTGAAGATATAAGGGCTGGAAGTTTCGCTCTCTAGAAATTTCTAGAACAGTCCAGAGCATTAGAAAGCATTCCACAACATTCCAGAACATGCCGTAACATTCTCGGATGTCGTGGAATGTTCGAGAATAGTCTGGAACATTCTGGAACATCCCAGACCATTGTGAAACATTCCAGAACACTCTCAAATGTTGTGGAATGCTCTGAAATATTGTGGACCATTCCAAACCATTTTTGCATGGGTGGGGCTACCCATTGGAAAGGGTATATAAAGCAAGATCCATCATGGGTTCGAACGTCACAGTGAAGGGCAATGAGTGAATAAAAATAAGCAGTGATACAGCGAGTAATCAAAGTGATACAGCGACAAATTATAAATTGAAAATAATATGTGTAAAGTACTTAGTATATTTCTCAATAAAAAGTTGATAGGATTTGTGCTTTATAGAATGATCAAACTTAAAAGAGGATGAGATCTTGCGTTTCTAATAATCCTATTGCTGGCACAAATACGTGTTAAACAACACATCGCACTTGCACTGGCATCATCCGGCATTGCCGCCATACTTATGGAAGGAGGGCGAACTGCCCATTCCGCTCTACAACTACCGTTGAATATAGTCGAAAGCCAATTCTTGGTATGTACACTGCGCAAAAAAAGGGAGCAGAGGGGGACAGTTCTATATCTCCCGTTCTACTGGGCCGATTGACGAAATTCAACATGCGTTTTTCATATCTCGAAAGCGTGACTTAAGATATGTATTAGATTTATATATAGAATTGTTCTAATATAGGTATTTTGACACAAAATCAGACTTTTTCTGAAATAATATACCAATGTCTTCCATATTTCGATTCTACGACTCAAATTACGCCAAACTACCAAGGTTTGTAAAAATCGCACGAGTAGTTTTTTAAAAATTAGCTTTCAAAATTTTAGCCTCTCAATGTTGATTGAGTTTGATATATATTTATTAATCTCTATTTTTTTTTAGTAAACTTATTTGATTCTTCCTTTCGCATTTCAGAATTCAGGTTCATTCAAATAAAATTTACCCATTTTTTATGATTTATTTTTAAATTTGTATTTTTAAATAGTTTTTATAAATTTTTCAAAAAACTTTTTGAATTATAAATTATAAAATTTTTATCATCATCTTAAAGTAAACGTTTCTAAGCATAACTTCAAAAAATTAGTTTTTTATTCAAAATTTCCAAAGATATACGTGAATTTATATATTGGCGCGTTTTGAAATTTGGCATATTTGTTGAAAGCGATAAAACATCAATTGTAGTTTAGACACTTTGCTAAAATTATTTGAAAGTAGGAACGAGTGACTTTTTGTCCGGTCATTACACAATGTAAAAAGGTAGGAACGATGTGCCTTTTTCTCCGCTCGGGCATAATGAAAGGGAAAGGAAAATTGGTTGCCACATATTAAGAAAATCGCCAAGTGAAATATTCTTGGCGAAAACTGAAAAAATTGTGCCAAGAAAAATTTTTGAATTTCTTCATAAATTTCGCACCAAATTTTACAAAATTTAATATTTAGGTATAATTTGAATCGTAAAATCGAAATATGGGAAAAAATTTATATGTTATTTCAGAAAAAGTCCGATTTTGTGTCAAAATACCTATGTTAGAACAACGTTATATGTAAATCTAATATATATCCTAAGTCGCGCTTTCAAGACATGAAAAAACGCAATCTGAATTTTGTCAATCGGCCCGGTAGAATATAACGAAAGATATAGGAACTGTCCCCCCCTTTTTTTTTTCGGTGTGTACAATCTCAAGAGCATCTGGGGTGAACTTCTAAAACAAGCTAAAATTATCTTCTGGGACGAATGAACAATGGCACACACACAAAAAAATCACTTGAATCCATGGGCAGAACATTACAAGACTTGAGAGGAAACTCAGAAATGATGGGAAAAGCTCTATTTATACTCTCAGGAGTTTCCCGACCAACACTTCCAGTTATTTCCAAATCAACGCCAGCAGATGAAATCAATGCGTGCTTAAAAAAATCACACCTCTGGCCACAATACGCAAATACATGCTCATACAAATACTATGATTAACAAAAAAATCTCTTACGGACCCATACGTACCCAACAATATAATAAATTATTTTTCTTTCATTAGTGCATTGATTAAATCCACTTTTAATAAAAGCTTTATAGTATAAAAGCCTTTGTAATAGTATTTATTTTGTTTATCACAACAGAATATCTATTTAGATCATGATATATCTATCTCTTTGTGCGATGAAAGAAAATTCATTGTTAAAATAGCGACTGCTATTATATCGTAATATTTAATTAGCAAGAAATGAAACACGAGATTGAAGCTACCCACTTCTAAAAATGATGAGTTAAGAAAATAAATATAATTTAACTCAACTGTTTTTACTTGTAATTATTGAATATTAAAATTTCTTGCTAATTACAAACAGATCCTAGCTTATTCTCATGAAACTAATTTTGAAAACTATTTTATTTTACAAAGTATCAATATTAGTTTTTGATAAATCAGTTAAGTGTTTAAGTTGTAGGGAAGAAATATGGTATGTAGTTCATTTCTTTTTTCTCTTTGAAATAATAACGATTTTATATGCAGATACGTGCAGAATACGAAATGTGAACAATAGGATATCAGATAATTTAAAGTTTATTTATTTCATGTAGGTTACTTACAGATCCCGTAGGAATGACAGTGCATATCGTAATACATTCCCCAAACATAATTGGAATCCAGTCTGGAATTCGATCATCATTTCTGGAAGAGAAAATTATCATTTAAGCAAAGTTGTAAGAACTATACAAAAAAGACTTTTGGTCAAAATTTTTTGCGCAATGTGCTGCAAAAATAAGGAAATGTGAAGAGAAATTGTAGTTAGCTCGCCAAAAAGTTACCAAAAGCTGTGGCTTCAAGAAAAATCCAACATATGCATATTCAGCAGTTTTTACAAGTTCGAATAAAAAACTATATGTGAAATATTTTCGGTAATTTTAACAGAGTTTTAAAAACTAATTAAATTGAATGAAGTGACATATTAGGCCACCGGTGAAATAAAATGTAAATTATAAAACACAGTAAACTACTAATCGATGAAATAAGTTAAAGGCAAAAAATAATAAAACTCAGTAAAAAACAATCGACTAAAATTTCTATGAGTGTTCTTTAAAAGCAAACGTAAGAACTATTGAAAAGAATTCAGTCTATGTTATTAAACTGAAGAAATTATTCAGCTCGATAATATTTGAACTTTGTATATGTTAACGTTCATCTGTGACTTGAAACTGTAAGAAATTTTGGTACTTTTCCGTTTTGCCGGCGCAAGCGATAAAGTCGCCAATAATGGTACAACCGATGCCAAACGGAATATTCTCGCTGGTAACCTTTTACGCCTCATTTTCAAAACAAGGCGCAGCTTTTTCTTATCAGATTGATTGTTTCTTTCAATACTGGCATATAATTACATAGAATTTTTATCAGATAGTTCAGTTTTTATGTCCTAAGGCCATTTTCGGTAATTAAGTCAATTAGGATGCAATCACAGCGCTTACCCGAAGCCGAAAATATAGAAAAGGTAAAGTCAAGGGTTAAATTCATCAATTCTAATGAGAATGCATTAGCGAAGTAAAGCACTGCAGTTTTACATAATTTCTGAGTAAGCTATTCGTACGAATTGAAATATTTCTTGCATTTAAACTTGTGTTCCAAATTAAGATTTAACTTGAAATTAATGTAGATAATTACTGAGAGCATTAGATTTTTGTAGAGTAGTTTACGTGAGATGAGATCGCTTGGGGTCACGTGATATGAACCGGCGAATCAGGATGTTGAACCATAGTAAATTCTTAAATTAATGTCTTTTTACAAATTTATTGTCTTTATTTATTGGCTTTTTATAAAATTTTAAGCGATATTAAAATGTTTATGCCTTCAAAAAAAGTTTCTTAGAACTAACATTTTTTTAATATTTTTTATGTGTATACTGTATGTTGTCGCCAATAAAGTCTGCTTGGCGAGATTTGCGCCGGCGAAACGGAAAAGTACCGAAATTTTCTGTTGCTGTATGTGGAGTGCAATAAATGTATATGATAATGATTTTTAACCGTACGAGAATTGCATAAAAATCTTTTTATTTTAAACGGAGATCTTTGCCCACTAACAAATTCTACGTCAACAATTTTTTTAAATTACATTTTACTGTTTTTTACTTTATTGTACGAAGTAGAGGAAGTACCGTCATCGCGAAAGATTTCGGGTTTCATATTTCAAGGGAAATATTAATTTTGACCGTCCCCAATCCATTTGTACCATTTTCTTGCGGGATACCTATGCGTAGGGATAGAATAAAGGAGTATCTTTTTACAAAACGTATTGCAAATGTATTTAAAATGGATTCAAAAGGGATTTCACAACGTTGTGTTTTTCTTTTTTTTTAATTGCGATCGGTGGAACAACACATATACACATATACAGATATATATATATATATATGAATTTAACAAACATTCCCTATTCGTAAAAAGCAAATTTAAAGTTAATTAAATTTTAAATGAAATTGCATTATAAATAAATGACTAATTATTGCTGCGAACTAATCTGCAATGTCATTTAAATTCTGAGAGCATGTGTAAATCAAGTGCAAGTATCAAAATCTATGAACATATAATAAATGTATAATATATATTGTAATTCCAATAAATTTTTTAATCCTAAAAATTTATAAAAATGCATAAGTGAATAATTGTTGAGCAGGCAGGAGACAGACTTATCAAGGGGAAGTTGCCTCCAAACCTAAACCTTCAATTATTCAATTCGTGTTTCGTTATACATGCAGGCAAGGGTAAAAGAAAAAATCAAAACAAAAAGTAAAGCCAAATGTTGGGAATTATTAAAAAGAAATTTAAACAAGTGGAATTAGAGAAATTAGCAAGTAAAGACTAGAATAATTAAAGTCAATTAAGAGTAGAAAGCCAAATTTTTTAGGAAACCAAAGTAATTTAGAAACTCTTGCCTACAAAAAACTTCTCCAGGTTAAAAGTACTTACTCGTTCTTTGTTTTTGTAATCCTTGATCGTAGTCTATACATCCACATACAAAAGTGTTTTAAATGATGAAAATATTAAATGATTATACTCGCTATGAAAAAAATAAAATTATAAGAAATTTGACTACCGTACGACGAAAACTGACGGGGATATTTAATTTCAAAACTTGTAGTTTTAATGTCTTTTTCAGCTTGCTTTGAAGGATCAATTAATTAGTTAGAATAGTTCCAGGAAGTAAGTTTGAATGAAGTGCAGAAAAAAATATGTATTATAATATTTAATAGGCCGCAAGTCATGTGATGTATAAACCAGATTTTTTAATTGTATTTATTTGTATTTTAATAATATAAATAGTACAAATAGTTTTAAGAAATAAAATATGAACTTCTGTAATTACATTTTTTTTATTTTTCACATCCTAGAGCTAGTTTTAGAAGCTTGCCATTTTCGATTTTTTTTAAAACCTAATTTAAAATGCATTCTTTAGAAAACATTTGCTCACCTGCATACATGAAACGTCGATCTTACTGAACTTCCATTCGGATCACTTGATCCTGTTGCAAGACAAGGCTCGACGAACACTCCATTTTTCTCAAAATCATATGGCAGCGCTGATAAAAATACGCAGGAGTTCTGATTAGACGAAGCAAGAGATGTACTTGGCCTTCTCCACACAATTTGTATAGTATCCTTGTTGTGCAAAAAACCATCAAAATTGGTTGTAAGCTCCACCTAAATAAATTCATGTTTATAATGTTAATCAATTTGAAACAATCAGATAGTTTGAAACAATCAGATCAGCATATGATTTGACTGCACGTTCTTCTGATTTAATAAATTTCTGCTTTATGTATGGTGAGACTAAAGCTGGATTAAACGTTAAGCAATAAAATCACGTGCTTAGGGCATCAAGGAAAAGGGGCACCAAAAAATTTCCCATTTCCGTTTTACCATGGAATGTATGATGCAGCTAAACCAGACAGAAAATGAATGAAAATTGACGTAAATTAAAGACAGAAAATGAATGAAAATTGACGTAAGATAGAAAATTGACGTAAACATTTGTGTGGGGGGGGACCAAAATCTAAGGAATCAGGGCCTCAGAAAGTCTTAAGTCTTAATCCGGCCTTGGTAACACCCATTGTATCTCCTAACTTTAAGTCGCAACAGAAAGATGGAGAAGGCTTATAGTAGCTTTATGAGATTTTGAGAAAGACTATACACATCATAAGGACAATGATATGGACAGCATAAGGACAATAATAACACATCATAAGAACATCAATGAACCTTGAAAAGAATGTCTTCTAAATGTCCTCCGAATGTTCTTTTGTTTCGATGCTCAGTTCAAGGTGAAGCAGGACGGCTTCCATAACGTGTCTAAGTATCTCCGAGAAAATGTTGGCTTGCCATTGGGCTATTCCACTGGAACCAATTTGAACTGCCTTGCCAACATTTGTGCCAATCTTGACTGCTCTGCCGCTATACCCATTGAATGTCTGTTACAAATCCTATTGTAATGAAAGCTTCCATTGTTGCTGCTCACAGATTTAACGGAAATTTTATACCACATAAATAAGAAAAAAAAAATATCTATGCACCATCATAAAAGCATTTGCCGATGAAACTCCATTGCCTCCTAAATGCAGTAATGAAAACATTGAACCACCAAAATTTATACAATGCACTATTAGTGGTACACGTATCATATTGAGAAATCCAAGTATATGATATGCAAATGCCGTATTAAATGCCTCCAGTTTATTTATTTGAAGTGCGAAGAAGCAAGTTAGGCAATAATTAAAGTGAAATAAGTTAGTGGGCAGGAAAATAGTTTATCATTTTTAATCTTCAGTGGAATAACACTTAATTTCTGAGACAAAACTAAAACATTTTCCACCATGAGGATAACTAAGGACAACTGAAGAAAAATATATTTGATTAATAGTATAGAGGTATTTAATATTTCACTTCACAGTTAGTACTTTGGTACTTTCGAAACTGCATGTAATGAGCCTTTTATTGAAAAATACCTATAAAAGGTAAAATAAACTCACAAATAAAGAATAGCACGTATAATAAAATCAAAAGGGAAACAAGCTAAAGTGAAACTTAAAATTGGAAAAGCAACAACTTGTATTTGGCATGGATTTAGACAAAAAACGTATTCAAGTTTCTTTGCTCCTGATAAAGAGCGACCTGTTTGCCTTCGAAATCTGTTTCGTCTAAATGTACGCCGAGCACAAAGTTGTTTCTTGACTAATTTTAAGCATATATAGTAATGAAAGCGATATCGCTTCTCATTACTGAGAGGGCAAAGAGAAAATTGTGATATATTTTCAACAGATGCCCCTAATAGCAACTCAACAACTACATAATTTCCAAATTCAATTAAAATTCGAAATAGGCTGTACAGCTGCTGAAATACAAATACTTTATTAAAAGTGCGTGAAATTGTTGCCTCTCCTTCTAAAATTAATGAAAAGAACAGCTCTTTTGAATTCTTACCTCTCAGCTCTTAGATTATTCCAAAATTTAATCACCGTTTTACTCCAGAGAAATATTCAACAACAGGGTAACTCCTCTTTATCTGATCCAACTTTAACCGGCGTCCTTATTTTCATCAAAATTTTCTTTGCGCGAAACAAACATCCATTGCTAATTGTAGGATAAAGCTCAATGTATTGCTCTTAAAGAATAATTACAGATGGACGACAAAATAATACGAACACCTGTGAAATAGTGGAAAATCTTTATTAATAGTGGGTTGGACCACCCTTTGACTGATGTACAAGATTGAATGCGACGTGGGATAGATGCATAAAGGGTTATGGACAATATTTAAAGGAATATTAAGCCATTCCTCTTGCAGAGCGATCTCTAATTCCGAGAGTCTGGATGGAGGTGGAAATCGGGAACGAAGTTTGGACTCCAAATATGCCCATAAATGTTCAATAATATTCAAGTCCGGAAACTGAGGGGGACAAGCGAGATGTTCAATTGTATCGTCATGCTCTTCGAACCATTTCTTGAATACACCTAGCAGTGTGGATAGGGGCGTTCTCGTCTTGAAAAAGCGGTCGCTCCCCAGGCAATATAGTCTGAATAAAATACAGTCTGGAACAAAAGGATGGACATGATCCCCTAGAATGCTTAGATAGTGATTGAATGTGATCCTGCTATGCAGAACAACAAGTGCCCCAAGACCGCGCCAAGATAGCGCACCCCATAGCATAATGGCGCCACTCTCATGCATCACAGTCGGCAAGAGGCAATCAGGATGAAACGCTTCTTTGGGCGTTCTACAGACATAAACGCGTCCGGTCATCTGAAATAGGGTGAATGACGATTCATCTGACCATATTACCTATTACCACTGCTGTGGGAGCCAGCCTTTGTGATCTCTACACCATTGGCATCGCTTGAAAGCATTAGTTTCTGTCACCAAAGGTTTACGAGTTGCCACTCTGTCATAAATGTTCCCAGCATGAAGTTCCCTTTTGACAGATTTGTTGAAACGGGGTCCTGGAAATGACTGTTCATTTCGGATAAAGATTGCTTGTGCTTTCGGGCATCAAGACCCAATGCTTCAAGACCGGTCTATCCTTATCAGCCAGCTTTGACTTTCGGCCACTGTTGCGCTTTGAAGACGTCGTCTTACCCTCCTTCGTGTACGCTGTCATAACGGCTGATACCATACTCCTTGCACACCCCACAAGGTTTGTTGTTTCCGTAACCGATGCTCCACTTAAACGCGCTCCAATTATCGTTCCTCTTTGGAACTCTGACAGGTCAGACATTTCAACTTCTCAAAGACAGTTCGATCGAAGCATGCAATGCAGGTGACTGCTGTTGAGAGACTGATACTTTCCTCTTCACTCTCACTAGGTGACAGACTTCTGTTGCAGGTGGCGCGGCTGTACTGCAGGTGGGAAATACGTCATACTTTTTCACGATCGTTCGCATTATTTTGTCCTCCATCTGCAGGTCATCAAGAAAGTCCGACATATTTGAAGCATAAGCACATCCGGCATATTTGAAAATTTTGCATTATCGAACTTTCGCTGTATTTCTCAAAATACTGATCGTTGGCATGTACTTTCAAATAAAAAATTCAAAATATAAAACAGAATTATATGGAGACTATGTCATTGACAACAGGAATGTCAAAGATCTCAATTGTTGCATGTTTTCCAAAGAGGAAAGATTTCAATTAATATAATCAATGCGATAGATATAAAATGTTGCATACATTTCCGTGCAAGTTTGGCTAAGATAACTATAATTGATACATTCTTTGGAACAGTTACCGGGTTGAGAGACTACATCTCTGATACAAGATATCTTCTGGAATTTTTCATATAAAAGATACAGAATATTTTACATATAAAATGCTAAAGAATGACTAATAAAGTGACTTTTTACCGGCATCGTACAAAAGGTTTTTTAAATTAACATAAAGGGACGTTAGCCCAGAAGAGCTATTAGTCTCGAAACGGCATTTTGGTTCACTATAAATGTGCGTTTCACTTTTCAAATTGTTGCACCCAATATTTCCCCCCCCCGGTATTATATTTAAAGAAGTTAAATAATGAAGAATCTGCATGCATGTATGTATGTTTCTCGCACTGTGGAAAAACAACGGTACATAAAACCATCAAATTTTGAATAACATAGTCCTCCACTCGAATATGGGCACTTGGAAGCTCGAATTTCTTTTATTGTATTTTTCATATTTTATAAAACTTTAGCAAATTTTTGATTAATAAACTCAACGATTTCAAATCGAGCAATGACATCATTGCGCGGAAAAACAATTCTCAGATAACATAAAAAACAGAAGTAAATTTTACTTGATTAATAGACACGTCGTCATTCACGTCTCAGGTACGTAGTCTACCCGCACTGTTTTCGGTGGTGTGCCACAGGGATCTCTATTAGAGCCCATCTTATTCAATATTTATGTGAATGTTGATATTATACTCAATATTTAGTTTGCTTTGCTTTTATCAAAGAATTCAAACGATCCAATATTTTATGAAGCTAAATGGGTAACCAATTTATGTAATAGACAGTGACCCAAAGCCGAGCGCATCAAAATTTCGAAAACTGTGAAAATTCTAAAGTCAATATTAATGGCAAATGGCATTAGTGTTTGACAACCACTGTTAGAATATATCATTTGTAATTCAGTTGTAGTCCATGATATTAGCTTTAGGATCCATTTGTCTGGTGCAAGACGAAGAGGAATTTTCCGCAAGCAGAACGAATTTTTATTATTGAGCATTTTTTTCCAATCATTTTTTACGGAAAAGCTGCTGTAAATATTATGATGCCAAGATGGACATGATTGGTCTTTTCCTCTACGTAGCCAAGGCTTTCGATCCTGTCTGACTGGACGCACTTTTATCTACAAAATTCCCAACCTGTGTTTCTCAGATAATATAAAAAAAATAAGTGAATTTTACTTGATTAATTTCCACTTCGTCTTTGACGTCTCAGGTACATAGTCTACCCGCTCTATTTTCGCTGGTGTGCCACAAGAGTTTCTATTAGAGCCCATCTTATTCACTATTTATGTGAACGACGCTCCACGCATAATATATGTTGATGACACAACGATCCTTGCTCAAAGTACATTCTTTAGACCAGTCATCTTACATTTACAAAATCACATACAGGCAATGAAGATCTGGGTAAAGAAATTTTCCATTCCTTTCCATTTCCATCCAAATCAATATCGAAAAAGCGATAAATATCTTGTTCACAGAATAAAAAGAAAAGAATATTAATGAGAATCTCAAATTTTTTATAGACCTGCTCTTCCATGTGCTAAGCAAGTCCTTTACTTTGGGGTGATCCTCATAAATTTTTTATCATGGACTCTACACATTACATTTATTATTCAGATGTTTCGAATAGGTAAAGCTAGACTCTACCCCTTAATTAAAATATTCTATGCCTCGAAATAGCGTTCAATCTATTGATAATAAGTTGCTCATTTATAAATACATTCTGCGTCCCCTGCTATGTTATGCCTGTCCAGTCTGGAACTACTTGCGAAACAGAAAACAACTATAATCTCCTCAGAATAGTGTACTGAAGCGAATTTTAGATTCGTCTTGGAATATTCGTCAAGAGGAAGGATATATTGAGAACTATAACGTGTCCAGCTAAGGCTTATTATTATCAACTAACTAACCATTTTTACAAAAGATAAGCGCGAGAGATTGTCTATCGGAAATTCTAAAGATATGCCGTTTAAAAATATTTTTAGGCTAAAGGGACATTTGCCGAAATGTTCTTGAAACCTGTTTGTGTGCGTAAATGAAAGAAAAAAGTTCCTTTGGGCGTAATATAAAATCTGAAAGCTTTCAGAATTTTTTTAAAATTTTTTATTTATACTTCACCTACAATTTGGGAACTGTTTTCATCAAACGCCCTGTTTAGTTTTAAAACATTTTTTAAATCGAATGTGCAGATCTAAAATTAGGATTTCTAAAGAAATAAAGTCTATAGCCACATTTTTGCGACACCTTGGTTAATAAGAATAAGGATAAGGAACGGGGGACGTGGGCACTATACCTCTACCATAAGGTTAATTAGTATAGCACCACGTCCACCATGATCTAGAGAACCCTTAAGACAACAGTAATTCAAATACGTGAGTACATTATTGAAAATGAATGATTGATTACAAACAATTGTGGTATACCTTGGCAGTAAAATTGTTGCATTTGTGTAAATAACAAGTTGCATTTGTGTAAATAACAAGTTACGATTAAAGACAAAGATGTAGTGATAGTCTGTAAAGTGCTAACGATTAGTATTCCAGTTGTTGCCATTAAAAGAGGATACTTCCTGCTGTAATGGTCACTCTAGGGTCATTTATTCTGCTGCGCAGTAGTCCGTGCCGAGACTGGCTAGCTTTTCCATAATTTTGATGAGCTGCCGGCAGAGGTGCTTCTGTTTGACCATGAGCTTACAGAATGCCTGTGTGTTTGTAGTGGGAATACGTATCTGCATCCCGTTGGTCAGAGAGCAGGTAGTGACGTAATGCTCCGACCTTGGTTAATACAGGGTGATTCAAAAATCGTCTTCATCAAACTTTGAAAAGTCATGGAAACTCCATAGATATTAATGGCAATTTTTTCAATGGATGCCATCACTACAGTTTACAATTAGTAATGATTTGAAATTTTATTTGTAGTTTATGTTATTGGTTTTAAACCCGTTTATTTGGTGCAAGAGAGATGAGTTTTCCCTAGAAGAACGAATATTTGGGATTAAGCGTTTCGTAACGAATAAATTTGATTACAATGGCACCTTCCTCACTTTCTTTCTTGTTGATTATAATATTTTATTCAAGAAGTCGTCCATTTTGTTCAAGCTCAAAAGAGGCGGGCAGCAGTTTTGCTACTTATGATGAAGAATTGTATATAATGGAAACAGCGTTAGAGATTTGAGTGCCTGGGATGTAAGCCCTAATACAAATCAAAACCTCAATCAAAAATTCTCAATTTTTTTGTTTCAGTTAACTTAAGAGACCGTATAACGTATAGGGATAGAAAACAAATCAGCATGCAACCCCATACGTAAGTATCTGCAATAGAAAGCCATCGAACTGGGGAGTAAACAATAATAAAATGCGGAGATAATTCAAAAAAGTGCACGATAATAACCTAATACAAAATTTATGTACATATTCTACATAATTATTTGCGTATTTAGGATGGCCCTTCGCGTTTTGATATTGACTGGATTTTTAAAATAGTAGTTACAGATTTTTTATTTCAGAACTGTTGATTCTTCCTTATCTTTCGTAAAAATGGTTAGTTAGTTGATAATAATAAGCTTTAGCTGGACACGTTATAATTCTCAATATATCTTTCCTTTTTACGAATGTTCCAAGGGGAATCTAAAATTTGCCTCAGTACACTATTCTGAGCAGATTATAGTTTTTTTCTGTTTTGCAAGTAGGTCCAGACTGGACAAGCATAACATAGCATGGGACGCAGAATGGATTTATAAATGAGCAACTTATTATCAATAGATGGAACGCTATTTGGAGGTATAGAATATTAAGGGGTAGAGTCTAGCTTTACCTATTCGAAACTTCTTAATAATATATGTAATGTGTGGATTCCATGATAGAAAATTTATGAAGATCATCCCAAAGTAAAGCACACGGAAGAGCAGGTCTATAACATTTGAGATTCTCATTAATATTCTTTTCTTTTTATTCTGTGAACAAGATATTTATCGCTTTTTCGATATTGATTTGGATGGAAATGGAAAGAAATGGAAAATTTCTTTACCCAGATCTTCATTACCTGTATGTGATTTTGTGAATGTAAGATGACTACACTAAAGAATGTACTTTGAGCAAGGCTCGTTGTGTCATCAACATATATTATGCGTGGAGCATCGTTCACATAAATATTGAATAATATGGGCTCTAATAATGCCCCTTGTGGCACACCAGCGAAAATAGTGCGGGTAGACTATGTACCTGAGATGTCATCATCAGCATATATTATGCGTGGAGCATCGTTCACATAAATATTGAATAATATGGGCTCTAATAATGCCCGTTGTGGCACACCAGCAAAAATAGTGCGGGTAGACTATGTACCTGAGATGTCAATGACGAAGTATCTATTAATCAAGTAAAATTTACTTAGGTTTTTTATGTTATCTCAGAAACCAAGGTTGGGAATTTTGTAGATGAGTGCGTGCAGTCAGACAGGATCGAAAGCCTTGGCTACGTCGAGGAAAAGACCAATCCTGTCCACCTTGGCAGAATTTACAGCAGCTTTTCTGTAAAAAATGATTAAGAAGAAATGCTCAATAACAAAAATTCGTTCTGCTTGCGGAAAATTCATCTCCGTCTTGCACCAGACAAATGGCTCTTAAAGCTAATATCATGGACTACAAATGAAATTACAAATGATATATTGTAACAGTATAGGGTTGTCAAACACTAATACCATTTGCCATTAATATTGACTTAAGAATTTTCACAATTTTGAAAGTTTGATGCCCTCGGCTTTGGGTCACTGTGTATTACATGAATTTGTTACGCATTTAGCTTCATAAAATATTGGATCGTTTGAATTCTTTGATAATAGCAAAGCATACTAGGACTATTTTGCTGGGAAAAGATGCCTTCTGGGAGGACTCTATAACAAAATCTCACTTGTATTCACGTTACACATGGAAGAAATCACAAAAACTTACATGAAGCCAGCCCATTAGCCGAGATTTTAATTCAAGTACCAGTGTTTAGCCGTTTTACACATTTGGGCAATAGTGAGCCTTTAGTAAAAAAAGTGTTATTGATAGTGGTTTCATAATACAAAAACTTCTTACCGGTTTATTCAGCATATCCATATATAATTCAATCTTTTGCACAGGAAGGTCTCTTTTAGACTGCTTCAAAAGTGATTGCTCATAAGCAGCCTAAGGGAAAAAATAAAACTATTTAGAAATAAAACGATTTCATCTAATATTAAATATTCTTTCTTCTTAAAAGTGTGCTTCTTATTCGTCTTACTTATTCAAGTTGAATAGGCAAGCAAATCATTTACTAAATCTGATAGTACAAAACATGCAGTATCCATTAGAAAACACACTTTTTGCATCCTTCTAACCAATATTCGTACTTAAGGAAGTAATGCTTCAGCTCCAAAAATTTCTATAATGAGTTTTCAGTGAATAGGCACAAATTACGGACCCCACATCACGTTTTGATCATTTTTACACTGATGTTTGTTCTGTCTGTGTGTTAGAATTTTTTCTTTCACAGTAAAGCTTATTTTGATACCTGTATATATTTTGCTAAAGCTCCTATAAAATATGGTACAGTATATGTTTCTATAAAATTGATGTATCGGATTGGCAAGAAAGTTATTCGGTTTTTTAGCGTGAAATAAAACTCAATTTTTAGTATACAAAAAGTGAACTTTAATCAGTCAAATACCTTCCATTCTGTTCGATTACCTTTTACCATCTTTCTGGTAACTTCACGATTCTGCACTCATAGAACTTCTGGTCTTTATCAGCAGAAGCAAATTAACCAAGTGCAGTTTAACACCATCGTTGTCACTGAAATTTTTACCATTTAAGCAGTTTTGTAAACTTCAAAATAAATGATAATCCGATGGTGCAAGGTCGAGGCTATATGGAGGATGCAATATCATTTTCCTACCAAGCTCCAATAATCTCGTATATGTTGCTAAATATGTGTGAGACCTTGCATAACCGTGACGGAATACAATTCCTTTGCGTTTGCTGATTCTGGTTTTTACTCTTTGATTGCTTCCTCCAGTTTCATAAGTTGTTTTCAGTAAACATCTGATATGATCGTTTGGTTTCTTGGAAGCAGCTCAAAATACACAACACCTTTGTAACCTCACCAAACTGAGAGCATAATCTTTTTCTGATGTGATTCAGCTTTTGATATCTTTTGTGCGGATTCATCATATTTGGACCTCGATTTTTTCGATTAATGTATTGTAGACGATCCATTTTTCCCCCGCTGGTAATAATTTGTTTGAAAAAAGGGACGACTGCATCACATTTGAAATACATATCTCACATGTTGATTCGTTATGTTAAGCGAATTTCTTTGAATTGATGCGGAACCGAAATATCGAGCTTCTTAAGGAGTCCAAGACATCTTATGTGATTTTCACTTGCTGTGTGTGATACAGTTAATCATTTTACAATCTCTCGCACAGTTATATGACGATTTGATTTAATTATGTCTTTAATTTTGTAATCATCATCTTCTGAAGGATGGCAGAACGTTGGTCATCTTCAATAGAAAAATATCCAGAGCGAAATTTTTTAAACAAATTCTGGTACATGCGTTCTGTTGAGCAATCAACACCATAAACTCCATATATTTCTTTGTGAGTTTCAGCCGCTTTCTTTCCTTTATTAAAATTAAAAAGTAAAATATGTCGAAAATGTTTATTTTTGCACACCGTATTAAAACTGGTCGTAAACAAACAGTTGTCATTAAAAACGTGTGGAATTTTGTTCTATTGAAGATTCAACTGCCAAATCTCAAAATAAAAAAATTATAAGGTTAGTAGAAGACTAACAAAACGAACATAACGTTATCTCTTTGTGCAAACTAAAATTACTCACCAACCTACCCAATAAATAATGCTATAATTTATAGAGTACAATTTTTAAGCTTATGCTATCCAGTGCTCTGTAAAAACATAATTCCAATGTATTTTCTTCAAGGGCATTGTATGCCCATGTAACTCAGCAGCATTTGTTTAAATCAGTGGTCGGCAAACTCATTAGTCAAAAGAGCCAATTATCAACATTTTAGCGATTGAAATCTCTTTAGAGAGCCACATTTCTTTAATTTAAATTATGTAGGTACACTGGTGTGCAAAAATTAAGGACGAGACGTTTTTTTCAATATAACTTTGTACAAAAGCTTTCCAAATCAACACATTTAATACCGTAAGATCCCCAATACGTAAGGACATGAGTAATGTAAGCAACACTTACTAAAAGAGAAATCAGAGGGATAAAAAGAAGCTTTATTGAAAAAGTAGCATGGAGCGCAATGCGACTGAAGGCCGAAACATCCCTGTGATGGGTGTCCAGCAAGAAACATCCGGTCTTTAATAGGGGATATGATCTCCCCTGACTGCTAGGCAGGTTTCACAGCGTCTGCCCATGCTGAGAATGAGGGTGTCAATGAGTTGTTGAGGCATTGCTGCCCATTCGTCTTGCAGCGCCAATCGAAGCTCCGGAATCGTTACTGGTGGTAAGGTACGAGCTGCCAAGTGTCTGCCTAGAAAATCCATACATGCTCGATGGGATTGAGATCCGGAGATCGTGCCGGCCAATCCATACGTTCAATATCCTCACTCTCTAAGAGCTGTTCGGCAGCTACTGTGCGATGACATGGTGCATTGTCGTCCATGAAAAGGAACTGCGGACCCATAGCGCCTCTAAAAAGACGCACATATGGAAGAAGAATCTCGTTACAATAACGGGTCCCGTTGACTGAACCTGCGTCGAAGATGTGAAGGTCTGTACGACTACCAAGCATGATGCCTCCCCAAACGAGAACACCGCCACCTCCATACCTGTCCCTTTCAATGATGTTCGAGGGATGATTGCGGCTTCCCCGCTCTCTCCAGATGAGTATGCGATGAGAATCGCTACTCAGACTGAATCTGCTCTCATCTGTAAAGAGTACTCGTCCCCATTCATTGTTGTCTCTCCAATTCCGGTGTTCCCGGCACCACAGAGAACGCCTTCTCCGATGGGCAGGCGTTAGAGGTACACACCGTACAGGGCGTCGTGCAAACAGACCACCACCGTGCAGTCTTCTGGCCACGGTAAAACGCGATATCGGTCGTCCAGTCGCCTGTGTCGTGTGTCTAGCGATTTCTCCCGCTGTCTGCCGCCTGTTTCTTCTGGCCTGTAAGGCAATATACCGGTCATCTGCGGGTGTGGTTCCTCGTGGACGACCACTACTAAACCCTCCGGATAGCTGTTCCTGTAGTTTGAAATTGTCTCCAAAGTCGTGAAACGATGCTGTGAGCAATTCCGAACTCTGCAGCCACACTTGTCACACTGCGGCCTTTCCTCCAACTTCCCAATGATTCGACCTCGGGTAAAAGCATCCAGATGTCGTCTAACAGATTGATTATTCGCCATTTCTCGCTGAGGCAGCAACTCGGTGTGATTTTAACTGCTATAAGGCGTGCAATCTCTTTGCCAGAAATACTGATCTTACACCGACAACATGCTTTATACTACTCAGACACTCCCCCATTACGTCTACCTGCATATCTGCGCATGTGCTACCGTACATCACCTTACTTAATCTCCTGATTGGTCTTTCTGTCCGCTCTGCTTCTTCGTTCAGCTGATATGCTATTTTTTTGACTTCGTCCTTAATTTTTGCACACCAGTGTAGATATACTATTGGTATTCTCTTAATTAGGTTACTCTTACACTGGCTTTTACTAAGAATGTCCTCAATCTGATCAACGTACGTTCGATGAGGTCAACCCTTTTCCAACTCTCCCATCCACAATTGTCTTGTACATTCGCTTCGTAACTTCGTTCGCTCATCCTCTCTGTATGTCCAAACCATATTAAAATATCTTTGTCAACTCTCAAAACTACGTCTTTAACCACTCCACAACAGTTCTTAAAATTAACTCAAATTTTTAGTTAAACTATATAGATATGTCGAATAAAACTTGAAATTGCACTTAATAACGATATCATTTATTGATAAAATAAAAGGTAAAAGTTTACAATTGGGTGCCCCTTGTTTTTTGGCGATTCTTTTTTGACGCCAAAATTGGGGCCAGGAAAGGCACAATTTTAAGATGGCCGCTACACAAAACCAAAATAAGAAGTCGAAGAATTGCACAAACTCTGTTTCCGTATACATATCGATCTATTTTCACTTAAAAATACATCAGAGAATTGCACAAACTAGCCATTGTACACTGCCTCAACTTTGCCCATGTACACATCAATCTGTTTTCATTTTCAAAAAAATCAGGAAGCTAAAACAAAGTTACAACTATCGTGGTAACCAGAAATGAGGTTTCATCTTCAAAATTTAACAAAATTCGTCGTTAATCGAAAGGGCACCCAATTCTACACTAGAGCCAAATAAAATTGTAAGATATCCAAAAACTTAAATCATCATAATGACGAACAAATACTAATGTGAACAATGGCCTTGCTCTTTTTTTAATTTTAAGCATGATTCAAAGTTTTCGTCAATAAGACGACTTTTCAATATATTTTTGATAAGGCTCATGCTTGAAAATTATTATTTGCATGAATATGTTGACCCGAATAAGGAAAAAACAGCAAAGGCTAATTTTTTCAGCTGATTATACGATTCAGGACCATGTGTCAAAAATCAACATATTTTACTCCTCCAGGTCTTTCAAAGCAGACCACTTGTGCTGTGAAAACTACGCTCACATTTGTTTTCCTCCAATGTTTCTATATCAAAGACGTGCAAATTTAGAGCTGCATATATTCTTTTTTTTTTAATCCAGCAATTAGATTTCAAAATTGCCAATATCAATATTAAAGAAAGAAAAATTTAATTCTGCTACAGTAGTATTAAGAGGTTTTTTTTAACAAAGACTAATGTTTCTTTGCTGTTTTTGAATTCCTAAAACCTTCTGAGCAAACTTCTCTCATATTTTTAGAACTGTTATTTTGAAATATCAAATGTCAATATCACAGTTATTTTCTTGGCGATGTTTCAACAGACATGGAAAGTGAATTAAAGTTTCTCTTTCAAATTCTTGAGCAAAAAAACATAATTTGTTTTCAAATGAAATATCTTCTAACATCGACAAATTGTGTTTCATTTTCCCTGTAGATGAGACGTAACACCTACCAAGAAATAAAATTTTTTGATCCACTGATCGTTCGTTAGTTCTGGATTATAAACATTCTTTTCATGGAGATATGCTTACATTTCTGTTAATAAGGGCGCTAAATGTTTCAGAATGTTTCCTCTTGCTAACCAACGTGCTGAACAACATGAGTATTATGCAGCAGAAGATCTTCGTACTCACTCTCCATTTCAACTAAAAATTATTTAAACTAACGATGATTAAGGGCTTTAGCTATAATGGAGTTGATAATCTTAATCAACAATTCATAACTTTGCAAATTTCTTTTAGAAATGCCTGCGTACAAAGCGCTTCTTGATAAATGATACAATGGCAATTATCTCATGACTGATTTCTTCTTTCAAAATAGCAACCAAACCGTTTTTACTCCGGTCATACTTTTAGTCCGTCTGTTGGCAACTGAGCCAGTTTTATCGAGTGGAATAGGATGTTTTTCAATTCATCCAGTAGCCGAACATCATTTGCTACAATGTTTGGCTATTAATTTCCAGGACTGTTCTAATAACACCAGAACAGATGATGTGAAAAACGTAACCTTTTAATATGTTTTGAAGTAATCCCCATCTGCCGTAATACACTTCTGTGCTCGGCTGTATAAGTTGTGTAAACAACTTTTAAGTCCTCTTTTGGAAGGCTCTTCAATGTCGATGTCACGTTCTTCTTGATGTCTTCAACATCCACAAAGAGTGTTCCTTTGATCACAGTTTTGAGTTTGGGAAACAAAAAGAAGTCTGCGGGCCAAGTCAGGAGAGTATGGTGGATGATGCAGCTCCACGACATCATGCTTGGCCAAAGACCTCTTCACTGGTAATGCAATGGGGATCATTCACACAGAATCATTTTAGAAATAATTTCCTTAGGTTTGGTTTATGTGACTACAACAAGCCTCGAGGGCTATGTGCTTAAGGGAAGGGATGCCTTTGTGGAGGGCTTTCTAATTGAACTAGCTCGTATACACGTTACACATAGGGAAAGCCACGAAAACGCTCTTGCAGCCTTGACTCCGAAAATACCACTATTATATTCTTAAAGAAATAAATATTTTATCTCCGCCACATTGTATCTCTAAAAACAGAAATACTTCATAAGTTTTAAAATTTTTAAATTAAATAAAAAAATTGAAAATCTACGGGGAATTAAGGTTGCCTTTTTCGCCTGGATAAATTTTTCGTTGCTGTTCACCCTTGCAATTTGGCTTTCTTTTATGGATTATCGAAATTATAGAAATAAAAGACGTAAAAAACAAATAATACTAATGAAATTTACAGATAATACGAAAGAAATCTGAAGACAATTGCATAAATTTCAAGTAAATTCTCACTTCTTCTCGAGCACGTTCTTCTCTCCAGTTTCCCAGCAGGAGTCGTGGATCATGATATTCGTTTTTCTCGTTGGCATATCTGCACCTTTTGTCACGTGATGTCTCACAAACAATATTGAGCAGTCTGTTTCTTTCAGTCATGTTAACAATTTTGCCTCTCAAATCAACCCAATAAATTAAAAATCTTTTGTTGAAACACAAATGAACACCGCTTGGTTCTTCTTTTCAATGCAAGTTCTTGCCCTTTATTCGGAATTTAACCTTGGAAGAAAATGCACGTTATTTCGTATCACAAGTAAAATTTTCAGCAACATTTTGCTATTAATAACATATATACACAGCCATTTAACTCTTACTGTAAATGCTTAATTTCAAGAAAATTCTTTACACATTGTTACTTTGAAAAGAATAGCTGAAACAATGGCAGAAGTTACAGAAAGAGAATTTTACACCTCAAGTGCAACAGAGTAGGCCCAGCTCCAATATTTTCAGAGCAATGATTACAGTTTTCGGCTAGTATAAATTAAACATGCTAATAATTCAAAACTAAATATACTTTTATTAATTTAATCATCGCTTGCAAGAACAGGTTAGATGATACCATCCAAACTGGTGCCCTAAGCAACTAGCTACCTATGCCCTCTGGCGTCCCGTCCGCCGAAAGCAACGCAGCAAAAACTTCGCGCATGAAAACGTCGCAGATGAATAATTCAAAGCGAAAACGTCTCTGTGTTTCACGGGGAATTGTGTATACACCTGGGTACCTGGGCCGTAAGCCCCACCCTTATTGAAAAAAAATAAAAATTACTAATTATGTGTGCATTAACACAAAGAAGATTTCTAAAAACAATTGAGCTATAAGAAGAGGTTTAAGTAACAAGTTATTTAATAAATTTTGTCACAAATAACTTTAAGATAAGTCGTTATTTTATAATAAAAAGGCAATAAAGTTAAGCAAGGTATTACCATTAAATTATTAATAACAAGGTAACATGAGATAAGAATTTAAAAGGTGTAATAAAACAGAGTTGGAAGAATAAACAAGAAGTAGGTGTAACTCCTTCGGTGAAAAATATAAAAGGGGAAAAAGAATAAAAAGGCGGGTAAATAATGGATAAGTTTGAGCGATTTGAAATATTAAATTGACACTGGTCCTGTCAAACAAAATACAAAATATGTGCATATATGAGAGGAGATATATACATAATACAATAAGCATAGTTACAAAATGTAATACAAGTGCTGAATAATAACGCAGGTAACAGTAAGAAAACATTGATCAATATTTACATTAAGTATAGCCATAGGGCGTTTGCAGTTTAGCGGGATCATTAATGTCGTAATTACCTATTTTAATGGCAGGATTTTAAATATTTTTTTGGCTTTCGAAAAAAATCCTTGCTAATTTACGATGTATAATTTTAAGCTGGTCCATTTTGAGCTCAAAATGGATACGGTTATTACGAATGTACCAGGATGAGCTTGAAATTTCACTTAATATACAATTTTGCGCTGTCTGGAGCCTCTTTCAATCCGATTTGCAAGAATATGCACCTACTAGGCAGGCATAAAAGAGCATGGCACGCAATGCGGATTTCTAAATGAGTAACTTGTTGTCTATAGATAGAACGCTGTTTCGAGCAATAAAGGGGAATAGTGCTGCTTTACGTGCTCGAAATTTCTGTAAGAGATGTTATGTGTGGGGTCCAACTACTGAGGATCACCCCGAGAATAAGGGACCTTCTTAGCGCAGGGGATAGATGCTCCATATAAATGGCAGTTTGTATCAATCTTCTTTTTCTTGGTAAATAAGATGGCATGCGTCATGTTCACATTAACAAGGATTTTCCACTTTTGCAGCCAAATCTCAAGTATGTTTATGGGATCTTGTAACCGTTGTATGACTGATCCAACAAATGCACATTGCGTCAGGATCGCTGTGTCATCTGCGTACATTGCAAGCGTCGTGTTGTGTTGTAGGAATGTCGTTCATATAAATATTAAAAAGTATGGGTGCCAGGGGTTACCCTCTGAGCTATGCCCGCTAATATGGGACGTTGTGTAGAATACGATCCGAAAACATGAACGACGAAGTGTCTACCGGTCAAATAGTTATGTTTGTGATGTAATCTGGGAAACCCAGATTGTGCATTTTGTAGAGGAGTGCTTCCAGCCATACGCGATTGGAAGCCTTGGAAATGTCTAAGAAAATTCCACTTGTGATCTTCTTGTTTTTTATTCCTTCAGCAATCGTTTCAACAACTCTGTACAGTTGGTTTGTTGTGCCTATATTCTTTCGGAATCCAAACTGGAAAAGGATGGGGATATTATTATCTTACACATGCTTGTTCAATCTTTGAAGAATGACTGCTTCGGTAATTTTGCTTAGGCATGGCAGGAGGCTGATGAGCCTGTAAGAAGTTAGTTTGTTTGATGGTTTTTCAGGCTTTAATATCAGGGTTATTGTAGCAAGCTTCCAATCTTGAGGAAAATATTGCCATTTCAGGATCATCAGGTTAATGATTTTGACGAAGATGAACTCACTCTTGTTTGGGAATTTTTGAGTCATAGGGTTTGAGATCATGTCGTGCCCTGGGGCTTTCTTCCTCTTGAGTCGTTGAATGTATTCAAGGACTTCCGATGGCATGACCGTGGGTATGTTGCCAGTGCGTGGATTGGGGGTGTAATTGTTCTGAAAGCTAGTGATCATATTTTCTGTTGTTGTGTCATGTACCGGGTGATCAAAAAGTCAGTATAAATTTGAAAACTTAATCACGGAATAATGTAGATAGAGAGGTAAAAATTGACACACATACTTAGAATGACATGGGGTTTTATTAGAACCAAAAAAAAGTTTAAAAAATGTATGATTTTATGCAGGATGGCGCTCTACCCCATATTGCTAGACGCGTGAAAGATCTCTTGCGCGCGTCGTTTGGTGATGATCGTGTGCTCAGCCGCCACTTTTGCCATGCTTGGCCTCCCAGGTCCCCAGGCCTCAGTCCGTGCGATTATTGGCTTTGGGGTTACCTGAAGTCGCAAGTGCATCGTGATCGACCGACAACTCTAGGGATTCTGAAAGACAAACATCCGACGCCAATGCCTCACCATAACTCCGGACATGCTTTACAGTACTGTTCATAACATTATTCCTCGACTACAGCTATTGTTGAGGAATGATGGTGAATATATTGAGCATTTCCTGTAAAGAACATCATCTTTGCTTTGTCTTAATTTGTTATGCTAATTATTGCTTTTCTGATCAGATTATTGCTTTTCTAATAAAACCCCATGTCATTCTAAGTATGTGTGTCAATTTTTACCTCTCTATCTACAATATTCCGTGATTTATTAAGTTTTCAAATTTATACTGACTTTTTGATCACCCTGTATATTATGAAGTAGAAACTTAGATTCCAGATGCTGAGCAATAAGTTCTGCTTTCTCAGGTTTAGTGTAATGGATCCTATTGGGGCCGTTAAGGGGCTGAATGTTGTTGTAGCATTTCTTATACCTTTTGAAAGCTTTCCGCAGCGAATTATCATCCGTGGACAGTGATGTAAGGTATTTGGACCAGTCGAGTTGTGCTTGTACGTTAGTCTGAGATTTGACTGCGTTACACAACTGGTTAAACAACTGGTTAACATCAAGTTTGGTCTGCGGATTTCTGGTGCGTTGAAATTTTCTCCGAGCTGCATTTCGTTGTTTAATGAATTTAGCTATTTCCTTGGTGCAACTTTGTTTCTGAAACGTGCAAAAAGGTCGCCGTACAAAACATAGGGGGAGAAGAGAAAACATCGCAATTATAAAGCATCGTATTACAATACATCGTCGTCAAAAAGAAATTCAATTTTTTGAAATAAATTTTAATGAATTTTATTTAATTAAAAGTTATTTTAATTTGAATCAAAATCATTTACACGGAATATCAAACCGTAATATTGATTTCGAAGTCTAGCAAATGTTTCCCGTAATTAGAGGAAGAAGTTCAAAATCTCTGACACTGGAAATTCAGAAAGAATATTAAGATAAATCAAGTTGAATGATTTGCAAAGTCTTAAAAAAATTCGTACTTTACACTAAAAGTTTCTAGATTATTTCTTTCTAGGTTTTCTAGGTTCTACTGAAAATAGCAATAGCTGCATAGAATTCGCATTCGAAGTGTTTGGTTCATCTCACCATGGTCGTATAAGAACTCACAATATGATTTCCAATGTTCATTTCCTTAAGCAACACATAATTTTACAAATTGAAAAGTTTAATTGATAGTGTTGTTATTGAGAAGTTATAGTGTAAATTATTTTGCATTTAATAATCCTATTCTAAATTTTTGCAATAAAAGTTCATTATATGATATTTACATAAATATGCTAATATAATATATAAAATGATCTCAGATTTTATTTAATTAAGCCAGACGCCAAGGAACATACTCGTACTTTGATATTTAGTTTTGGCACGATTAGTCTTACATTTACGATCTTCATGTAAACTTTCAATAATATTTAAAGTTTTAAGAATAGTATACGGTTAATCAAACAATAGGAATTCATTAATTAATAATAAACAATATTTGCTTTGCTTACTTTAATAAGAATAATCCATAATTTTCAAAGCATAAATTTCTCTTAAAGTTTTCGTTCTCTTTCCTGCACTAGGAATTAAATGCGAGAACTAAAAATATTATTTCTTAAACTGAAAAATGTCGGAAATCATTGTTTTAATATTACTGTATATCATCTGGATTATAGAATAAAATTGCAATAAAGAGGCTCTGTGTAAATTGTTTAAAAATTTATTATTATAGCATCCTTTGTTGATAGATCTAGTTTAATTAATTGTTTTAATATTATTTTACGTCACTTGGATTAATGAATAAATTTGTACTAGCGAGGCCTATGTAAATTGTTTAAGAATTTATTATTATAACAGCCTTTAAGATCTAGTTTAATTGCTTCAGACACTTTGTCATTTTTCTATGATAATACAACTGAAAATAATGAAATACAATTAAAGTTTTCATTTAATATTAAATGTTATTAATGGCAATCAATTAACGCGAATCCGTCTCGATGGGTCAGATTCATATATACTCTTAATTGGAATGGCACAAAAAAGCAGATGGTAGTGTTTTGCTTTTC